TTGCAAAATTTTTTTGGATTTTTTAATTATAACTTTTATTTTCACTTTAAAAAAAAAAAAAAAAAAATTGTACCAATCAGCAAGTTAAAAAGTTTGTCTGTATTCTTTCATGAATTGAACTCTTATTTGGTAATGAATATCTTGAATTCTCAAGGGGCAAGGTTGTTATTATTACACTATGTTATTTCAAATCAATAAAACAAACACCAGAGTCTGATATTTCCTGCCGTGTTGTTGAATATTCTTTAGGAACATACACAATTATTTTTTTATCAGAAATTAGGGAGTCCAGCTTTCCTGAAAAAATATTTAGCACGACTGACGTATCTTTGCTTTATTCTATTCAATCCCATGTATATAGTAAATCATAATATGTTCAAATGCCCAAAACTAACTTACAGAACATTTAAAAAAAACATTTATATTGGAAGATTATTTATTCACCACTGATAATGTAAAGTTGTGTAAACAACTATGTAAATCTCCAACATGTAATCACTGTCTAAATATGGAGACTAGATGTCGCATATTTCCCAGAACCCTAGTTCCATCACATATTTTGTTCAAACTTTTTCTTGTGCATTGAATGTTATGGGACTGAAAATCATTTCATTTTATTTTCCAGATCATATTTACTGATGGTTATTTAGTTTAAATTAATGTAGTCCTGGAACCTTATGCTCTGATCCTTATATATTTCTGGAACTCAAATAGACTATGCAATGCAATTACTTGTTTCCCCAAAAAACACTGCCAAATTACATGTACCATGCTATCATGCTATATGCTTGAGACAAGGAAGTTTATCACTGCCAGTCCTGCATTCGATGTGAAGTTCATATCCGCCCCTCTGAAATCCTTCATGGAGAACCCTGATTTTGTAAATGGATCATCACATTTAATTTTAGACATTTGACCGATTCTTATTTATTCTCCAGTTTGACGAGTACTATGTTGGTGAGCTACCACCAAAGGAGGTAACATTCTCTAATTTGAATGACAACATCAATACTCAGTTTCTGGAAGAAATGTGTAAAAAATTTGGCATCATAGAGTTATCAAAAATCTACTATCATCCCAAAACTAAGAAGCACTTAGGACTGGGAAGAGTCAAGTTCAACACTGTGATGGCTGCAAAGCAAGCAGTCACAAAACTGAACCGAACCTCTGTCATGGGAAATATTATTATTGTACAGATAGATACAGGAGGTATGTGTCAAATGTTTTAGACAAATGTTTAAAAGCAAAATTATTGTTAATTATTTTTAAACATTTTTTACGAGGGATTTCAAGTTGGGAATCTGTTATATGTTGTTACAAAATATTGTTTGGGAGTAGATTTGTTGATATATTTTTTCCCTTTTTGCGAGGATTGTCTAATTATACAGTCCTCAACCAATTTCATTTAAATTTCTATGAATATCATATTGTATATGGCTTATGAATATCAATGTATGTTGTATTTCTTGGTTTGATTGCAATTTTTTTAATATTTGAGACTGTCATTGACTTGATGTGTTTTACTGGTACATCAGACGAATTTGGTTATTGGCATATAACGTTATTTTTGCTCACACAGGTAAAGAATGTGATCAGATGTTTGAATGTTTAATCAATGACAAACCTAAGGTGCCAACAGTACAATCATTGAATGATCCGCGTAGTAAATCTAGGATTCCTCAAACGACGAGGACGCCTGAAACATCAAGAACGCTTTTGGATCATAGACAGGGTCAAAGCAATACACCACGGGGATTTTCAAATCAACGGTTTGCTCAGAACAATGACAGTTTCACGCCTCAAAGCCAGGACTCTGGCTATAGCACCCATACAGCCTTTTCAACTGACTATCCAAGTCCAATGCCACAAAATGTGGAAGCTGGATTTAGAGGAAATGGAAATTACAATTACGGCAGTACTCCATCTACACCTTCTGGTTTCGTTTCACATTCTGTGTCCGCACCTGCAGTACAGACTTATGATACAAATAAATCTGCGTATGATAGCAATTCAACATTTATGCCGAATTTTGCACAGCCACAGGTACCGCCTCCACCACCGCCCCAGCAGGTGGTGCCACCACCACCATTGCCTGCCCAGCCAATACCTCAGTATCAACAAGTCCCCCCACAGGGCCAGTATCAGCAACCAATGGCAGGGCAGCAATATCAGCAGCATTCACACATGACACCATATCATCATCCAACTACTGTACAACCAAGTCATTTTCAACAACCAGCTCCTCCGCTACCGCCGGTACCGCATTACCCAACGCAGTCTCTACAGCCAGCACCTAAGAAGAACATTGCTGAACAAAATCTTTACCAGAACAAGGAACCTACACAAAGACATGAAAAGAAATCAGTGCCATCATCAAAAAATGAAAAAAGTGAAGATGTTAAACCAGCAGAGTCTCCAACATACTTGAGTTTAGATTCTCGTATTGAATCTTTGTTGAAGCAAAGTCGCAGTAAAGGTGCATTTAGTGAAATCCCATTCGTTGCAGACTCATCTGACACGGAACATTCTCAGTCGCCAGTAGCACAGTCGCCACCAGCGCCTCTGCCACCACCAATTCGAGAATCAGAACCTCCCCCACCTGTCAAATTATCATTGCCACCTTTACCCCCCGCAACAAAACCGAATAAAGTGGAAAAACCTGAAAAATCATTATCAGAGAGACTATTAGAACTAAGTCAGTCTTCGTT